GAATGGCGTGGCAGAAGTGAATAGAATATTTTTTTAATATAACAATTAATGTCCGATGGCCCATTGACTTGAAAAAATATTCTATTGTACATGTGAAATTGACAGTGGGCGTGGGTAACCGCTGGGCGGGGCTACCCGACTCTCCCCTACTAGTTTCAATTGAAGTACAGAAAAAACTTAGAAAAAGAAGGAACAGCTGAACATACTCAAATAATGCTATAGTAAATTAAATAGTTTAGTATAGCAAAAATATCATCCTTAAATATCCCATAGATAGCACCTTGAGTGGTCACCATTTTTTAAACGACGAAAATAAGAAATAAAATTCTCCGTATTTCGTGAAGAAAAACTCACTACATTTTCCCTCGTATTTTAGGTGATTTTTAAATTCCGTGAATTTTCCAGGTTTTTCCTATTCTCCCCTGTGGAGTCACAAACCTGAATAAAAACGTTCGCCTTCATTCTGAAATCAAAGAAAAAAAAAAAAATCAACAAAAAAGTTGTGATCACCCTATTACGATAGTGTGAAATAAACAACATTGCATTATATATATATATATTTTTAGAATAAATATATTCTCGTGTAAAAAGTGTTCTACAAATAGCGATTGATTATCATGCAAGCACCAATAGTTTATCACCAGGAAAATCAATCTTTCTAAGTTTAAAATGAAGTTTTTTGGATACATGCTTGACCACCACCCACTCCGTTTAGTACATTAAATAATGAGTTACGTAAAGTAATAAAATTGAAAGAATGACTCAGCAACTGGTTATGTCTGATGTGAATTAATATGATGCTTAAATGACTGATTTTCACAGTTTGAGGAAATTATTCATAAGTTTTGAATTTTTCTTATTTGCTATATACCCTTCTATATTTTCTAATTTAGTTATTTTAATTTAATTATTCAATATTATTATATTATTTATTTTCTCGGTTTTTAAAATTTTATTATTTGTGGATTGCAGCTGGTTAGCATAAATGTTTTTTTTTTAAATTACTATTCACAGTTTAAAAATGTTTTATTTTATGCATGAAAAGTTTTTTAAGTTGGATTTTAAACAGTGTGACATATTATAGGGGACAATCCTGAAAATTTGCAAAAGTGTCTTGCATAAAATGATTTGAGTAAGTGCAACATTTTTAATGCTTTTCCATCGATGAACCAACATGATCTCAACCCTCCATGATTCTATCATGAATCATTATATTCTCTGAACAAGGGACTGATTTATGATGGTCCAACATAAGAATAGCAAATTTTTTTGTTGGATTGTACCAACCAGACTGTCCACATTCTTTGTATTTTATAATTTTATAAAATTTCAAAACCTTCACTGAACAGCCTACCCAACTTTTGGGTTTACGACTACTTATGTTCTACTGCGAAGATTTGTCATTTTGAACCCAATCCAGAAGACAAGAGGATCTCCTGGATCAAGCATTGTCTTCCCTTCGTGGATGATCTTTTGATGGAATTAACCCGCATTTGCGTTACATGGAGAGGAAGACCACGAGAACCGTCCACGGTTAGCCTCACGGCAAAGGGATTCATGATCCACTGTGGTAGGTATCGACCAGCCATCGCTGGAACCCCAGTTCACCTCATTGGAAGAAGGCCCCATCACGGCTGAAATACATAAGTTAATGAAATTGTTAAATAATCGGATGTTTAAGGCAGTATCCCTACCTGTTGAGGCAATTCTATAACCCTTACGGTTTCTTTTGTCACGAAAATGTTTTTACAACAAAAACCTTTTTTCAGTAAAGCAAAAAAATATTTCGAGCCTTTCATCTTAAAAGGATTATTTCTGAAGCTTTTTTTTAAAAAAAAGTATTGTCACTTAGGTGAAAACAAAACCTTTTTTTTATCATATTTGTCATGATAAGGTAAACAGAAATATTAAGCCAAGAGATTGAATAATGCAAATACAAACCTTTTGCGCAAAAATATCAATAAATATTAAAACAAAAATTGTATGAAAAAATCCTCACTCAAGGGAGAACATATAAAAGAACAAAATAGTACCTTATTTTAATTGTTTTCTAATGTCCTTCAGAACTATATTATGCGAAAACCTTCTTTTAAGGTTTTTCACGTCAGCCCCAGTTTCATTTAGAAGGTAAGGAAAATATTTCTTGTGGGTTAACTTTTTATACTGGGCAGACTCAGCTCAAATAGCGTGTTTTGAAAAATGGACACAGCTGAAAATGCTTTTTTATGAAAATCGACACATTAAATGGAATGGTAAAGACAGATAATTTTTCCCCCACTGAACTAAAAGCTATTAAATATAGAATAGCAGAATCAAGTGACGTCACGTCCAGAATGACGTTTTAGTTGACGTCACACCAGCGATAGGATCAAATAGCATATGGTTCATTAAAATGTCAAGAGAGGGCGTTGCGGAAAACAAACCTTATAAAGATGACCTAGATTTAAGATTATTTTCACGCTTGAAAACCCTAAGACAATCCTCGATTTAAGGTTTTTATGTAAAAGGTTGATTGTCACACATCTCGTTTCAAGATCAGAAGGTTTACAAGCGCATCAAAACACTTTTTAGGTTTTGCTGAGTGAAAATAAACCTTATTTTGCTGTCTAGGGATCTTAAATAGTTGGAAAGGGTGATCTCAAATACGAGTGCAGACGATTGTTTAAGTGACGAATTCAGACTCAAAAACGTCTTTCTCTGAATAGACATAGGGATTGGATTTTTGACCCCCAAGATGTCGCAATCTCGGAAATAGGGTCCCTATAGTTTAGAGGAATTCAAGGTTTTGACCCCTTAATGTTAATTTTACTTTTTTCGTATTTCGCCATATCTCGAGAACTTTTTAAACGAATTGAAAAAATATTTGGCGACCATTAAAAATTATTGTCCAAAAGTAATTAAATAAAATAAAAAATTTTAGTAAATATTTCTTATTTTTTATTATTAATAATAGTACCAAAATTTTGAATTGTAAGGTATACAATTTTTTACATCACTAAAGTCCGTAATTTTCCATAGCAAAATACGAAATTTGAGTGATATCGGTTGAATAATTCCTGAGAAATCGAATTTTAAATACGAGATAATTCTTCAAAATTTGATTTATCAGGAACTATTCGACCGATTTCGCTCAAATTTTGTATTCGGCCATATAAATTTACATATTTTAAAATTATGCAAAAAAAAAAAATTTTTTGGGGGGCTATTATTAAATAAAATAATTATTTAAGAATAAAATTTTTGTATCATTATTAAATAAACTACGTGGGACCCTATTTCCGAGACTACCTCCTGTAGTTTGTGAGTTCGTCGAAAGTATGTTTATTCAGTTTTTGCGTCTAATTTTGTAACTTAANAATTGGGGGGGGGGGCTATTATTAAATAAAATAATTATTTAAGAATAACATTTTTGGATCATTTTTAAATAAACTACGGGGGACCCTATTTCCCAGACTACCTCCTGTAGTTTGTGAGTTCGTCGAAAGTATGTTTATTCAGTTTTTGCGTCTAATTTTGTAACTTAAAATATCGTCTGCACTAATTAAGTGATTCAATTTTCACATTTGTAGAAATTCTCGAGTTTTGTTACCGCCATTTTGATGGTTTTTTGATAGAAAACGATTGCCCTGTCAGTGCTCTACAAGTCGCTACTTTTTAAAAGTAGTCTTCTGGGCGATGCATAAATGTTTCACATTTAGCACTGCGTAAATTCGCAATTAGTAATTTTTTTTTAAATAAACGTTACCTTTTTTAATAATTATTTCTCACTATTTAAAGACGTGAATGTCAGCAAAATAGCGGTTTGAAAAAAAAACAACATTAAACAGGATTTGTACAATTAAAAAAAAAAAACAGGATTTGCACAATTAAAAGGGTCCCTCAGTGGACTGATCA